AATATATGTTTGTACTTGTGTGTGCAGCTCAGTGGCTATGGGAAGTATTGATCTGTTAAGATCCATCAATCTCTTGGAAACTAGGAATGACAAAGGAAATTGAAGATTTAAAGCTATATCTCAGAAAAGTTTCTCTTGTTAAGCTTTAAACTGGGACTGTTACCAAAGAAGCCAGGTTCTGCTGGAGGACAGGGTACCTTGAAGTGCTCAAAGGCCTTGACTCTTTACTGCTACAGTGATTTGGAAGAAGCTTCCAGACTCAGTCTTGAATTGTGAGCTTATTTTCTGGTGATGTTCAGTCAAGAAATGGTATTAAAAGGACAAGATACCAAAGATTGAGAAGAGGCATCAGAGGGATATCAAAGGGGGCGGAAAAGGAAGGAATATGTATAATACATATAATAAACACAGTGTGTATAGTAAACATATTCTCACTCATGGAGTTAAAGACCCAGATAACCCACATATTTTGCCCTCATGATAATCTTAGATTAGGCAATATTTACTGTTGTATTATTTACAGTATATGGGCTATATTTGAAAGGATAAACTTTCCTTCTGGGGAGGAGGAAGGGTGATCAGGATGTAAGAGTAAATAGTAGGTATCAGCTTTTATACAAATAGTGTTTAGGGGTTTTTGACAGAGAAGAGGGTTGTCTCCAGAGACACAGACTTTTATCATAGAGATATGAGTTGTGGCATCTAGAAATAATAAGAATAGGGAAAAGACACAGATCAAATTTTGTTCAATGGATAATTTGTGAATGCTTACTAAGTTGCCTAAGAATTCTCTGTGATACAAGAAAAAATGAAGAATATTATCAATATTTAATGTCAACAGCATATAATATTACTAAAGAGAAACTAGGGAAGTAAATATGAAAGAATAGAATTTCTAGTTCTAAAATAGTTGATGGGGCTGGAGAGATGGTGCAGCCATTAAAGGTTCAGGTTCAGAGCTAAAATGAGGCATGGCAGAGAATGGATAATTAGGGTACCTGGCATGTGAGATCAGAGTTGGGCTGTAGAAAGGATTAATATAATTTGTGATGCTGCATGGATAGCTCAGTCAGTTAAGGTACTTGCTGGGTGAGCATGAGAATCTGACTTCAGTTCCAATAATTAACATAAAATGCCAAGTGTAGTGCCATCCACTTGAATCACAGCACTGGGGAGGTAGGGATAGGGAGTTCTCTGGGGCTCACTGGTTAGCTAGTCTAGCGTGATTGGTGAGGTCCAGGACACGAGCCACCCTGTCTCAATAACGATGGATGGCATTTCTGAAGATGACATCTGAAGAAAAGGGGGTTTATTTCATCTTCCAGGTTGAAGTCCATCACAGAGGATAGTTAAGGCAGGAACTCAAGGCAGGAGCTTGAAGCCCCAACCACTGAGGAATGCTGCTTCCTCTAGTTCTGTTTGTATCCCCTAGTGTGCTCAGTTAGCTTTCTTATTTTGACCAGGTGCACTTGCCTAGTGATGGCACCTTCCACAGCGGGTTGGGCTTTTATCAGTAGAAGATACCCCACAGACATGTCCATGGGCCACTCAGATGGATACAGTTTCTCAAGTCAAGTTCCAAACCAAGATTAGCTATCACAAATATCATCTTTGTCAACTAATTTATTTCCACTGTCCTTAAATGTTTTCACTGATACATATGCATGCTCACATATATGCACATGTATTTATATATATGCATATAAAACATTTTTACATACAGACATACCCACACACATGTATATACATGTATGTATATACATGTATATAATTATGAGTTCTTAGCAGTAAATATCCTTTAGTAAGTCATTTTTCTGGTTCTTGAAACCATTTGAGGAATATCATTACTGCTGATAAACCTCTAATCTTAAACATGTGGTTTTATACTATGGCTCACTGTCCCCTTTGATCTACAATTTATATGGAAACACTTGAAGGATAATAAAAAGTTATTCAAATATGACATTGAATCATTCTTACTCTCTGAATGTCTTTTACTGCCTTTACTTTTCATACCCTTGCATAGAATCAGAAAAAAATGGCTTACTAGAATTTTCTTTAATTTTCTGATTCCATCACTAGGCTAAGATAAACTATGAGAAATTTCAAAGCCAAAATAGGTTATTTAAAAGACTTCAGTGAGCAAAATCTAAAGTATTATGGCACATGTGTGTGTGAGTGTGCAAGTGGAGGCCAAGCAAGGACGGATGTTGGGTGTGTCTTCTTCAATCCACTTCTGCACTATTATTATTATTATTATCATTATCATTATTTTATTATTATTATTATTATTATTATTATTATTAGTCTTTTTGAGGGTGTTTTTCAGGGTCTCTCTGTAGCCACAGTTGACCTGGAACTTGCTATGGAGACCAAGCTGGCCTCAATCTCACAGAGATCCACTTGCCTCTGCCTCCCGAGTGCTGGGATTAATGGTGTATGCCACCACATCTAGCTTCCATATTAAGACAGTCTCTCACTGAACATTAGAGCTCACTGATACAGCTAGGCTGGCTGGCCAGTGGGTTCCAGGGATTCCCCTGTTTCTGCCTCCTAGTGCTGAGATTACAGATGCAGTCACACTTGACTTTTCCTGTGCGTGTTGGGTGTCAGATATCAGGTTCTCAAGATTGCACAGCAAGTATTTTAACAACTGAGCTATCCTCCTAGCCCCCTTTCTTTGAATGAGTCTTGAATTTTATTGAAATACACTAGATTTTTGTGATCATGAGAAAAGATTCAGCTAAATCTACTTTTTAAGAAATTATTTTGCAAGGCAAACATTTTTATGCACTGAGTCATTTTACTGGCCCTATTTAGTATTATTTTACTTTAATTAGAACAAGGTACAAAATTTTCATCTATTGCCATCTCTGGTCCTTTCCTCCACCTCTGATTCTTGGTTTGGTTTTTTTTTTTATTGCCACCTTGACATAAATTAGAGTCATTGGAAAGAAAAAACCTCAATTGAGGAACTTCCTCCATCAGATTGGCCTGTGGGAGTGTCTGTGGGCATTTTCTTGATTGCTAATTGATGTAGGAAGGCCCAGCCCACTGCGGTTGATACCATCCCTAGACTGATTGCTTAATGCGAATGTAAGAGCAAGCCACTAAGCACTCCTTGGTGGTTTCTGCCTTGGGCCCCTCTTGTTGAACTATGATCTGTAAACTAAAATAAAGACTGTAGTCTCTAAGAGAAAATAAACATTTTCTTTTCTAAGTTGCTTTTGGCCGTGGTGTTTATCACAGCAACAAAAACAAAAGTAGAACTCTCCCTATAGCTGAGGATGACTTTGAACTTCTGATCATTTAGACACTAGTTCCTAGGGCTGGGATTACAAGTATGTACCACCCTGCAGTGCTGGGGATGGAACACTCAGCTTCATGCTTGCCACACAAGCACTCTATGAATGGAGCTACATGCCCAGCTCCCCTCCCTTTAAAAATAGTTTTTAAGATTACTGCCAAATACAAATGAGAATGCATCAATTATTATCAATGAGCTAGGATGGAAATAGGCATATTGATTTCCTTTTATTAATTATATTTTTTGATCTTTTATGCTTAAGATGCTCTATTGGCTATAAGCATGACTAATTTAAAACATTTTTTGTTTTTATTAAATTATTTATTTAATAACCATATAATTAGAAGAAACATTTCATTACAACAGCATTGACATAATCAATAACAATTTCCAGAGCTAAGATGCATCTCTTTCAAAATTCGCTGTACATTTTTAAGTATATGGTTGAATTAATACAGTTATACAATATTGTACTCTGTCTAAACCCTATAAGACATAAAATTAACTGAGGTTTTAAACTTTAAAAAAGATCTCCATTTCATTATTAAAATACAATTTCATACAGAAAAATTCATTTTTAATACAATTGACACTAAGATGCACA